TCTAGGCTTACTTCGTTACCAAAACATTTTAAGTTCTTCTTGTTTTGGAGACAGTATCCTCAATATGAAGATTTTTTGAGAGAGGCTTGGCAATTTGAGGCTATTGTGGAGCCTTATCGAATATTATATAGGAAACTGGGGGAGCTTAAGAGAAGGCTTAAGAGTATGAACAAAGCTGTCTATTCTGATCTATCAGTTAGAACAAGAGTAGCATAAGTAGTGTTGGAAGTTCTGCAGAGTATTATGTTATTAGATCCTTGTGAAGTCAACTCACATGTTGTGCTTGAGCAGGAGAAAATGTGTAGGGATATCCAGAGTGTTGAAGAGTCTTTTTATAGGCAAAATTCGAGGGTCCAATGGATCACTCGAGGGGATGCTAATACTGGGTTTTTTCATGGTATGGTTAAGGCTAGGAATCACAAGCTGACTATTCAGAAATTGATAAATGATAATAGGGAAGTAGTCACTGATGTGACAACAGTGAGTAAGGTAACAGTGGATTTCTACAAGGGGCTACTAGGAAATGTAGACACCTCTGTTCCGCAGTTCCCTAGTGTGTTCTTTGAGGAACTATCATGTAAGAAGCTAACTGATGAAGATGCCGCTTTGCTGATCACTCCAGTTACTAGGGAAGAAATTAAAAAGGTTTTCTTTGGGATGAGTAATGACAAAGCACCAGTCCTAGATGGATACATTGCTGAATTCTTTAAGCTGGACTGGGAGATTGTGGGGACTGAAGTAGAGAACACTGTGTTGCAGTTCTTTAAAACTGGAGTTATGCCTAGGCAGGTAAATTCGATAGTTATTTCTCTTATTCCCAAGCTTCCTGTTGTTGAACGAATGAAAGATTTTAGGCTTTTATCCTGTTGCAATGTGATCTATAAGGGTATTTCCAAGCTATTGTCTAATCGATTGTCATTGGTCTTACCACTTCTAATTAGTAGAAGTCAATATGCTTTTGTCAAAGATCGTTTAATTAGTGATAATATACTAATAGCCACGGAGCTAGTGAAGGACTACCATATGAGTAGAATCTCTCCTAGGTGCACCCTCAAAATTGATCTCATAAAAGCCTTTGATTCGGTTGTTTGGCTATTTCTGTTTAAGGTTATGATGGCTATGGGTATGCCAGACAACTTTGTTAAATTGGTTGAGTCATGTGTACAACCTCCTATGCTTAGTGTTTCATTCAATGGAGGATTATGTGGCTATTTCCCTGCAACTAAGGGATTGAGACAGGGGGGTCCATTATCCCCCTATCTCTTTACAATTGCTATGGAAGTGTTTTCATGTCTTTTAAATAGGGTTGTTAGAAGTAATCAGTTCCCTTTTCATCCTCGTTGTAAGATTTTGGAAATCACACACCTTTGTGTTGCGGATGATCTACTACTTTTTTCTAATGGATCCCTACAACACTGAATGAGATACAATAGTTACTCTCACAGTTCTATTCAATCTCGGGCCTTAAATGTAATCCTCAGAAGTGTGCATTATTATGTGCTGGGCTTTCTCAGGAAGAAAAACAAGTGTTATCTGATCAGTTTGGGTTCCCTCCAGGTGAGTTACCTGTCCGTTATTTGGGCGTGCCACTCCTCTCTGGAAAACTGACTTCTTTTGATTGTGAATGTCTTGTTGATAAGATCACTAAACGGATCCATACTAGGCAAGCCAGGGCCCTGAGTTACCTGTCCGTTATTTGGGCGTGCCACTCCTCTCTGGAAAACTGACTTCTTTTGATCTGTGGATAATGGGCATCAACATGCTTTGGAAGAAGCGATGTGAAAGAGTGCATGGTGATTCGGTTGCAAATTCTCTATCTCATATAGCGAAGAAGGTGATGAAATAATTTTCAATATTTGCCAGCAGCCAAACTACGTTCCAGTTGAAGGTGCAGAAGGTTCTTCGAGATATAGTATGTCATGATAGTTCTGTATTAGTTTCTGGTTTAGTTAACACGTTGTAATGAACAAGTGAACTTTTTGAGAGGGAGGATGCGAGTTTGCACCTCCCCGGGCTTCAATGCATTTTTGATTAACCATAAATTTTTTTTGTTTAAGGTTAATGATAAATTCATTCTTAAATTAGTGCAATATGCAAGTCTTATATGTTATATATCATGAACAGTTTTATCAACGGTCACCAACGGTTTTGTAACGGTTAAAACTGAACGCTAAACCACTAAATTTTCCGGTTCAGCCTCCGGTACGATTCTTAAAATAGAGAAATGGACCAAGGATGTTGCGGAGCTAGGCAAGGCAGGGCATGTAAAATCTACTAAAACACGGAAGCACAACACAGCTATTTACGTGGCTTCCCCATTCGGTGTGAACAAGACTACTCCACGGAGAGCTGAAGCTCTCAGTTTATCTAATTAGTCTTCGCAGAATAGGAGCTGCGGAACATACATCTCAAGGCCGAACAACCAAGCTAATATACCCTGTCTACTACGTTGCCTAGGGTAATCAGGTTAAGTAACAAATAACAAAAAGGTCCTCAAAGTAATTACGTGTACAAGAAGACTTCATATAGTTCAACACTCCCCCTCAAGCTGTAGCTTGCAGGTCTCGAATGCCAAGCTTGGCAAGAAGATGATGAAACTGCTCCGCTCCTAAAGCTTTGGTGAAGATATCTGCAAGCTGAGAAGAAATACCAATCTTCACCGGTGTTATCTCCTTTTAAACCACACGTTCTCGCACAAAGTAACAATCCATTTCTACATGCTTTGTCCGTTCATGAAGATATCTGCAAGCTGAGATACCACCTTTTGTTTCTTTGTCCTCCACGAGACTGAGGCACCTCCCAACTGTATGTAGTACCCTGTAGTGGACTGACGATTTGTTTGACATCCACCCCAATCTGCATCACAATAAGCTGTGAGTCAATTTTTAGTCTATCTGTCCGTTGCTTCTTCATGCAAGCTCAGTCCTGTTCTAATCACTTCGATTCTCGTACACAAGTGAACGCGAAAATCGGCCAAGAGCCATAAGCACTCTTTAAATCATAGCCGAAGCAGGTCTCAAGTGACCCACCTGATGGGAAGAATAACCCCTGTCCTGGTGACTTCTTCAAATACTGAAGCACCCTCATTGCCACAACAACGTGTTCCTGGCTACGCGAACTAACAAACTGGGACAAAATGTTAACAACATAATGTCGGGTCGAGTTACTGTAAGATAAAGAAGTCGACCCACCAACCGTCTGTAACTGCTAACATCATCCACCACTGCTTCAGTCGGCTTCGTGAGGGTATGATTCTGGTCCATGGGAAAATTACTCGGTCATGAACCTGAGACACCTGCATCGTCCAGTATGTCCAAAGTATATTTCCTTTTGGCGCAAAACTGCTCCATCAGATGACCGTGCCACTTCAATGCCCAAAAAGTATTTCAAAGGTCCCAAATCTTTGATGTTGAACTTCGCATCCAAAAAAATCTCAACCTTTGCAATGAATTCTTGATCTGTACCTGTCAAGATCACGTCATCTACATATATTAGAGCTGCAACAAAAGTATCCCCCTTGCGCTATATAAGTAGCGATTGATCTGCCTTGGAAGGCCGAAAACCGAGCTCAGACAGAGCAAGAGTGAACTTCTAGTACCAGTTACGAGAAGCCTGTCTCAGTCCATAAATGGACTTTTTGAGACGGAAAACCTGCGTGTCCCCTTGCGCTTCGAAACCGGGAGGCAGCTTCATATACACTTCCTCTTCCAGATCCCCATGCAGGAACACATTATTCACGTCTAACTGATGCAAGGGCCAGCCGCGATTTACCGCAACGGCAATGAGAACACGAACTGTAACAATCTTGGCAACTGGTGCAAAGGTGTCATAAAAATCGATACCTTCCAGTTGCGTAAATCCCTTAGCTACCAAGTGTGCTTTAAATGGTTCAATGGAGCCATCGGGGAAATACTTTACCTTAAACACCCACTTAGCATCGATAGCTTTCTTGCCGGGTGGTAAAAACGTTAACTCCCAAGTGTGATTAGCAATAAGAGCACATACCTCTCATGTCATCGCCTCACGCTAGCGCACATCTCGCATAGCATGCAAGTAATGCTGAGGTTCCTCAATTTTGGCATTGGCAGTGAGGTAAGCCTTATGCTCTAGGTAGAAGGCGTCGAGCGCAAGACGATTTCAACTTTACCCCTTCCTTTTGTTGATAGTCGTGCATCTGCACAACCCTAATTTGTATCTTTTGACAAGAACACAGTAAGCAAACACAATGAAGATGAAAGAAATGATCGATGGAACCAGAGAATTGATTCCCTTCCCGTGTTTGTGGAACGACAGCAACCTCGGGCGTTTTGGTTTGCCCGACTTGGGCTTAACCTCCTGTTACACTAAAAGCCGACCCACCTTACCTCTCTTCTACGCCGCGTTTTACTTACCCCTTGTCCTCCTTTTCGTTTGTTCTATTAGGATCTAGGATGCTCTGCAAAAAAAAACTTACCCAGAACGAAGAACACTCCAAGAACCCATAATCAAACTTAAAACAGAGCAAGCAAATCAAAGAATACAGACACCGAAATTTTTACGTGGTATCCGGTGTTAGGTATTAATGAACCCAACACCGACTAATCCACGGTCAGAGGATCGCTCTTTTTCGATTTCTGACGTTTCACTAAAGTATTTGTCTTAAAGCTCACTTACAGTACACACCACTCTTCCTTTCGATCTGCTCAGTGCAAGATCGACAGGACGATCCCAAACCTATCAGCAAACCAGCCAATAGAACCCCGTGATACACCCTTGTACCAGTACCCAGAAACCCCTACTGTTCTTGTGCCGACTATTCACTCAAACCTCTTCCACTCGCACACTTAGCAGTTTGTTCGATTTGATCACAATGAAAAGTCTGATCCTCACTCTAGTTTCCAGCTCTATATATACTCGACCTATCTTCATAGCCGTTGGACCAGAACCATTTCCTTTCCTTGCTTGCTCTTTGTCTTTCCATATGTGCATTGACGAACGTTTGAGAAAGATTTCCCGGATCTTCTTCCAGCTATTGTTTATTGTCAATTTCCTTGAAGCAGGGACTGATTTCCAGTTGGAAATCTTGTGGATTTTGCTGGTTTCAATTGCAATGCTGCTCCCAACAATCTCCCCCTCAGCTTAGCAATGACCACCTTCTGCAAAATCAAACACAAGTATACTCGACAGAAACATGAACAGACAAATACACATCATCAGAAACACTCAGAGTTAAGTTCAAACAATGATCAGCCGATAACCACTTAAGCCAAATTAAAAAATATTTGAAGTTCAGACCGAGCAAAGATCATTCCCAAAAGAAACTTAAAAAGAAAGCGTGCCCTCTCCAACACTCAAACGCTGAAGCTTAGAAATCATATTCAGGATCGGACTCATAGTCCGAAATATCTCCTTCAGAGAAATTATCCCCCATAGCTTCTTCAAGTTCCTCCTCCGATTCCTCAGGTTCCTCTTCAAGCTCGCGAGGTGTACTCTCCGCAATCCTTTCCCTGATCTTGATGCTTTTCCATGCTGTTTTTGGAAGAGGGTTGATCTGAGTGGAAACTTTTGGGTGGATGCTTTTTCCTTGTGACTTTAATTTCTCCCCCTTAATCCAAGCTTCCAGCTTTCTTTTTCCCTTGTCTTTTGATATAGTCATCGTTCTGTTCTGCAATGTCAGGTCCTTAGCATTGCGATTTGATTTTCGAGCAGCAGATGCTACTCCCCCTTGGTCAATGCGAGGTATGCGAACACCAACTGAAGCATCTATCCTTCGCAAGACATGCTGAGCCCGTAGAGTGTCCAGAACATTGACAAGATGGACCTTGTCATCCAGATCGACACCAAGACAACGAAGGTAACTAGTAATCTGGGGACCATAAGGAAGATACCCAGCATTGTTTGTATCACTATAAGTGATAATGTGGTGGAACATGAGATGAGGCAGGCTAAGCTTGCGATTAGACACTGCATTGGACTGTATCCATAGATTGAGAGGGGTAACTATGGACTGGTTGACGGTGCGAGGAAGGAAGAGACGGGTAATATAAAAGTGTAGCACTTTTAACTCGTCAGGAAGATGAATGAGCAGAGTGGAGTCCGAATCATTTGATTTATCCGAGGTGATATGAGCAATAGCATCTCTCAGATTGAACAGGTAGAGATAGAAGTCGTTCTCACTCATAAGCCCTCTTCCTTCTGTGGACAGATTTAGGGCATGAGACAACAGCTCCACGGTGACGGTATGGCTGAACCCATACACGGTTGAGGAAAAGAAGGCCGAACGAGGATTGTTGTCCCGACGAAGACTCGCATAGAACATGCGAACTGCCTCGGGATAGTAAGAAAATCGTTGTTGCTCCATCACAGGGTTCCAGCCAAGAGCCCGAACGAGTTCTTCGACCCGCAACTAATATCGGTTGAAGGTGGCAGGCTCTAGGGTGTAAGACGGAATCAGACGCCGATGGCAAAAGTAACGCAGATAGCGAGGGTAATCCTCAGAGTTTTCATACACCTTGTTGGTGAAAACAGAGGCGCGGGCAATGATCCTGGGGGTTGAACGGCATCTTTGAAGAAGTTTGATCGAGATTTGGGAGAGGATTGAATGATGAGGAAGAATGGATCCGAGACGAGGGTTTAAATAGAAAAGGGTATAGACCAGAAGGGATGAACCTCAATTATGAGAATCAAATCAACTAGAAGGTGGAAAATGGGAAGAATATGTTTGACGGCAGAGAAGTTACCACAAGATCATTCAGACTTAACATAACCATCCAGATTTCTTCACAAAGGCTGGGATGTGATAGAGAATCAAATCACAGAGATGTCAAACTATAAAAGGAAAAGTTCTGAGAAGACTTACCCGAGTTTACTTAAGGGATGTAAGAGAGGAAGAGACTTGCCTTATTTTGTTCGGACATGAGAGAGAAGACATTCCCTGTATCCATTGAGAAACTCAAGGAAACAATTTTGAACTAACAGACATCCTCAAGTCGAAATAACCCTAGTTCTCTTCTAATGACAGCAAATAGCTCAGCTCCTAAAGGTTTGGTGAATATATCATCCCATTGAAACTGAGTGGGAATAAATTCTAAACGAATTTTATTTTCTTGAACTAACTCTATAATAAAGTGAAACATGATGTCTAAGTGTTTAGTTCTAGAGTGCTGTATAGGATTCTTGGCAATGTTTATTGCACTCGTGTTGTCACACATAATTGGCATAGGATCAGCAAGCTTAACACCGAAATCCTGCAATTGATACTTTATCCAAAGAAGTTGGGTGCAGCAAGATCCGGCTGCCACATACTCCGCCTCTACAGTAGACAAAGCTACAGAGTTTTACTTTTTGCTAAACCACGAGACTAACGAGGTTCCTAGGAAGTGGCAGGCACCTGAAGTGCTCTTCCTATCAGTAAGACTACCTGCGAAGTCTGAATCGTTGTATCCTACTGGTTCTATATTAGATTGAGCAGAATACCAGAGTCCTAGAGAAGCAGTTCCAACTAAGTATCTGAAAATTCTCTTTACTGCTGAGAGATGACTTTCTCTAGGAGAACTCTGAAACCGAGCACATAGACACACACTAAACATGATGTCTGGTCTACTCGCAGTCAAGTACAAAAGAGACCATATCATGCCTCTGTACAACTTATCACTCACAGGAACCCCAGACTTGTCCTTATCTAACTTTAATGTTGGAAGCCATGGGAGTAGAAGCAGGTTTCAAATTTTCAAGACCAAAACGATTAAGCATGTTTACCAAATACTTATTCTGATTAATAAAAATGCCTTTGGACGATTGATTCACTTGAAATCCCAAGAAGTAACTAAGTTCACCCATGAGACTCATCTCGAAAGATTCCTTCATGAGGACTTCGAACTCCTTACACAAATTTACATTAGTAGACCCAAAAATTATGTCGTCCACGTACACTTGCACCAACAGAATATTTGACTCCTTGGTTTTAATAAAAAGTGTTTAGTCAACCGAACCCTTGTAAAAGTCATTACTAATCAAGACATCGCTTAATTTATCATACCAAGCTCCAGGAGCTTGTTTTAGACCATAAAGAGCCTTTTTAAGCTTGTAGACGTGATTAGGAAACTTAAAATCTTCAAAACCCGGGGGTTGACACACGTAAACATCCTCTCTTAAGTCACCATTTAAAAAGGCGATTTTCACATCCATTTGAAAACGTTTAAAACCATTTGAACTGGCAAACGCACACAGCAATTCTAATCTAGCTACCGGGGCAAAAGATTCTTCAAAATCTATGCCTTCCTCTTGGCAGTAGCCTTGAGCAACAAGCCTGGACTTATTTCTGATGATTTCCCCTATATCATTTGATTTGTTTTTATAAATCCACTTAGTTCCAATGACATTGACATCAGTAGGCTTAGGAACAAGTTCCCAGACTTTTGCTCTATCGAATTGATTCATTTCCTCATGCATGGATGCTAACCAAAACTCATCTAACATGGCTTCCTCTACAGATTTTGGTTCAATCAATGAGACAAGTTGTATGATTAGAAGAATTTTTTGATCGGGTGGTCATACCTTCGTGTAGCTTACCTATTACCAAAGATGGAGGGTGTCGCTTACTGATGTGAGGAGGTGGATGGAGCTCTCCAGTTTCTGGTTCTGCCTCGATATTTTCTTCATTGTTTGCCTCCTTTTCTTGACTGGCAGTCGCCTCAGCTATGGTAAGAATGCTGCTTCTTCCGAGTCCGAAATCATCATCATCTGATTCTTCTGAAACCTCACAAACAGATTTGTCAAAAATAACATTTATGGACTCCTCAACCTTGAGGGTCCTTTTGTTAAACACTCTATAAGCCCTACGCACACTTGAGTAACCAAGGAAAACCGCCTCATCGGATTTGGCATCAAATTTCCCCAAATTATCTTTTGTGTTAAGCACAAAGCACTTGCATCTGAAAGGGTGAAAATATCCTATATTCGGCTTCCTGCCTTTCCAAATTTCATATGGGGTCTTCTTAATCCCAAACCTAACTAAGGCTCTATTAATGATATAGCAAGCAGTGTTGACTGCTTCAGCCCAAAAGTATTAGGGGAGACTGTAGTCGTTTAACATGGTTCTTGCTATTTCGATCAAAGTCCTATTCTTTCTTTCCACTACTTCGTTCTGTTGCGGAGTCCTAGGGGCAGAGAAATTATGATGGATACCCTGTTCTAAGCAGAAAGTGTCAAAGCTATCTGAAATGAACTCACCACCGCGATAACTTGTGATCCCAACTATCTTACCTTGCTTCTCGGTTTCTATTCACTTGGATAGCATTCGGAAAATTTCAAATGCTTCATCCTTGCTTGACAAGAAAAGAACCCAAGTGAACCGAGAATAATCATCTACTATAACGAAAGCATAGCTCTTACCTCCATAACTCATGATATTTGTTGGACCGAATGTAACACCCCGGTATTTTGGTTTTAGGTTCGACCTTATTTTAAAATCGGTTGGATTGACGGTTGCGTACTAAGAGTTACAACCGCGGATTAAGAATAATAATAATATTATTATTATAGCATTATTTGTAAAATATATATATATATATGGTGGTGTCTTCGGTGCACTCACTTTTTTGGGTGCATTCAGTTTACTCGCTTCATAACCGTCATTTTAAACATGCGATTTATGTCAAAATGATGTCAATCATCACTTATGATGTGATGAACAATAACGCATATGAATTTGCACAAAAACCATTAAAGATTTACTTTAATTTGAAGGATTTAGAGTTAAGAGATTTAGGGTTAGGGTTCGGGTTTACAATTTGGGGTTTAGGGATAGAACTCAAAATTGGAGGTCTAGGGCTTAGGATAATTCGCTAATTTTTTTCCGATGGAAAACACCCCCACTCGGCTTCCCCATTTTTTAGTTAAACCTTAAGCCTAAGCTATCATTGAGGGGAAACGGAAGCGATTAAGGCATCAGGAAGGGAGAGGTCGCGAGGAACCAAAAAGAAGGAGAGAGAGAGAGAGAGTCCTCAATGGCGTTAAAGTTTCTGTGACAGCACTGATCGGACGCGATGGTGTTGTGGTAGCGGTGGCCATCGGAGCTTGGAGCAATGGGTTGTGGATCGACGGAGCAACGCGATTCGATGGGAGATAAAGGGCGAGACCTATGTGTAATTCTAAAACCATCAGGTAAATGGAATAAGGTAATAAAAGCAACTCCTTTTGTTCGTACCTAGTTGGCATAATAATGGGCGTAATTAGTCCAAAGGATTGAAGACGAACGCCACCGCGCGGTGAAGATGGAATGGATTGAGGTGTTGGCTAATGGCGGTGATAATTCTTTAACTTCGCCATAATTGTTTAGCTCAAAGAGGACGAAAAGGATCCATTTGTTGGGGTGTATATTAATATTCACGTGTGATCCTGGTTCGTGGATAATGCTTAGGTGGAAGGCAAGCCTTATACTTGTAAGGTCAGTCCATGAACCATAAAGTATTTTATGGGAAGGTAACGACATGAAATGGATGCATGAAGCATAAAGTAAGGTGGAGAGGGCTAAAAAAAAAATCAACCGGATGGGAGGTGCATATCAGGACATCGACTTGGATAAATTGAAAGGCAAGGTCAAGTCAGTTGATTGTGACAATCACGGTGAGTGTAAAGGGGGTAAATTCTACGTCTTACGTATTTCCTTTAAGTATTATGATTTTAAGCATTTTAGTGAATTGGTTACCATTGTTTGATTTTGTGTGTGATTGATTATTTGTGCCTTGCCTGAGCTATGATTTGAGGTGATTTTGTGCCATTTACCTTAAAGCGTGTGGTAATAAGTTATCGTTAAAGTTAAGAGTCAAGTTCTTTTTAAAGAAGTAACTCACCTTAAAGAAGGTGAAGTCGTTTTAAGTGTTTTTAGTCACTAGCGCCAGTCCGTTGCCTTTTGAGACATTTTGAGATAGAGCAGCAGTTATGCTCTTGAGACTTTTAAGATGAGCAGCAGTTATGCTCTTGAGAATCGTGGTGAAGAGCCACCACGATAAGTTTAAGATGTTAGGGGGATGAATCGTTACGACTTCCCTAACTAAGTTTAAGTTTAAGGAAAGTCTTGATGGCTTCTCATACGTATGAGTTGGCAACCGGACTAGCTAGTGAGGGATCCCCGTGTCAGTCAAGTGTTTAAGTCGAGATTTGAGATTTAAGAATAGAGAGTGACAGTTACTCCCATACAGTTCTAAGGGTTAAGATTTTTAAGAATGGAAGTACAAAACAACTTCCACCAGTTAAAGTTAAGTGTTTAAGCAAAGTACTCGAATATTAGAAAGTTTAAAACGTAAGGGCGTAGACTGACCCCAACTCACTCACTAGGCCTTAGTAAGGGAATGAGCGAGAACCAGATCGGTAGCAGCTAGCTAGAGGAGCAGTTAGAGAGCAGCGAGTTCGAGAGGAAAAGTTCGATAGCAGCCA